CTCTAGACTATGGTAAATCAGACATTATCTGATAGATGTTTTAGCTGTTTACACGATGACATTTCACACATTTCCAAATCTGTTGTCTTACAACTGACCTAGCGTGGATTATCCAATATCTCTTCTAATTACTGATAGCAATAGCGGGGCCCAGCATGAAGATGGGATATATGAAAATGATTCACTATAATCTGTGTTATGTGATGTTTCTTGGGCAACAAATAGGATATTTTCTGTCCCTGCGCATGTTGGATTGTCTTAATCTCCTCCCCAACGCGTATAAGTCCATTCTTATCGATAAACGGGTTCAAAGAAAGGATCTTACTATTTGAGTTTAACGGTTGATTCTTTTTCAGAAGATTATATTCGTTAAAAAACTCATCCATTTGAACTACTATAACAATTGCATTTCTAGCGTATTGCAATTCTTCGGTTTTAAGGTAACCCTTAATTCTTGTTGCGGTAGATTTAGCTGAATTTCGCAAACCGAAAAACACCATGCGATGATTCTTTTAAGTTTCAAAAATGATGAAATTTCATTAAGGACTGGAATTTGCGAAGCGACTGTTCAATTGAACAAGAAATATTTTTCCGTTGTTCCCTTAAAGACTCTTCTGAAAATGGTAAGTTGATAGAGAACGGAATATTATTTGAATTAAGCCACTGAGGACCTGTCCACCACAAGTCATGAGTAGAAAGTTCTGAAGGCAAAAGACCTCTTGATGCGCAATCAGCTGGATCCTCCTTTCCTTTTATGTGATTCCAATGCGATGAAGGTAAGACTGATTGAATTTCTGAGACGCGGTTGGCTACGAAGGTTTGCCAGCGTGTTGGTTCTGATTGTATCCAGGACAAAACTATCATTGAATCACTCCATGCGTAAATACTGTCAACATGAATTTGCAATGAATTCTGAACAGCTTGAACCAAATGCACTAATAGAACTGCAGAGCAGAGTTCTAAACGAGGAATAGAGATTACTTTCAGGGGAGCTACACGAGTCTTTGATGTTAGTAGCTGCATGCACCGAAATTGAAGAATGATTTGAAGACATTAAATAAATCACTGTGGCGTAAGCTTTCTCTGATGTGTCACAGAAACAATGAAGTTCTACATTTGTAGCTTTGGGCAATACTACTCTCCTAGGAATATGGACGCAATGCATTCAAGATTTGCGATATCTTCACAATAGATCTTCCATCTTTGATTGATTTCATCTGGTAAGGGATCATCCCACGAAGATTTGTAACTTCCATATATCTTGCAGCAAGATTTTTTGCTGCAATTTATAAAAGGTGCTAACCAACCAAGTGGATCAAAGATTTTCGAAATAGAAGATAAAATTATTCTTTTAGTAGAACACTCTCTGTTTTCGAGATTTCCAAAGTGACAAGTAAACTCGTCTTGCGTTGGATACCACTCCAAACCCAATAATTTTATTGATTTAGTATCAAATATTGTACATGAAGAATTTGAGTTCCGAGCACTCAAAGCAGTTTTTAAAATCGAGCAATCATTTATACACCATTTATGCATTTGAAAGCCACCCTTTTGTAAAAGTTCACTCAGTTGTGAAATTAACTCTACTGCGTCTAACTACTGTATCTGAATCAAATAAGATACTGTCAGTATAACAATTATGTAATATTATCTCAGCTGCCTTTAGGAATTCAGCCCCTTCATCGTCATTGTTAGTTGTTTGACTACGCGAGTAGCCAAGTATGAAGCTGAAGTACTGCCGTACATAACTGTGCTCAACCTGTAAGTTTTAATCGGCTTCGAGTGGATCGTCTTCTCCGCAATATTTTTGGTAATCGCGATCTTCATCGTAAATTTGAACTTGTCGGATACATCTTCAATAAGTCACTAGTAATGGCTATGGGATAGCATCTAAACCTCAGAAGAATAGTAAATAAGTCATCCTTGTACCTTGGGACTATTCATGTAGCATTGTCATTAAGCGATATCCCTGATGCAGATTTGGCACTAGCACTGTGAAAACGACGCGTAGTTTTGTGGTAAGACTTGATTCCTTTTAGCACGTGATGATGAGGTATATAATAATGAAAAATTTACTTTATCTAGATTATCATCAGGATAATTCTTCCATGTGTCCAAGTGATAAATATTTCGGACATGAAGACTCATTATATTGTTGATATACTTTTCAGGAGTTTTTATTTAGTTTTTGTTCAGACTAAGAAAGTTGCGGACAAGGCTGATGGTCTGGAATTACCTAACTCATTTCATTTTAGGCCTTGAATGGCAAGTTTTACTGAGTAACGACCATTTTCACTACGACGTGATTTTTCCACGAAATGATTTTCCACACAATCTTTCCTCTTTAGTTAAAGGTTTCAATGTGGGAATTTGCTCTAAATCCCAAAATGATTTAACTAATTCCTCGGTGTTTACGTTAAGCGTATTGACTGAAACCTGCTGACGGTTTGGGAATTCAAAATTGTAGTTCCAGCAATTATCCATCCTAACTTAGAACAACATGCAAATGGAAGATTTTGCCCCTTTTAATTACCTCGCCATTGATTAAAGTAAGGAATACGTAACTCCAGCTGTAAAATGTCAATTTCTCCCGATTCATGAAATGTAGGATCTGCTAAAGTTAAATCTTGGAAATTTTCATATAAATTCAAAGGTAATGTTACACTTGGAATGTTTCCTGTAATTTTGTCTATTATGTAAGCGGACGTTTGAAATTCTGTAATTAGTATTAAAATGAGGTGTAACCAACAACTCAACTTCTCCAGTAGTAGTTGTATTGAAAGTACCTAAGCATGACACTAATATCTTCGAATCCTTTATGCTCAATCCTAAATTGATAGCTGTTTTCCGACGATTGAATGATTTTTCACTACCTGAATCTAGTAAACATCTACAATTATGAATTCATTTTTTGAGTTTTTAACTTAATTAAAGCAGTACACAAAAGTACATGACTACGTTTACCATAAGCATGAGCACCAAAATGTTTGATTTTCATAGTTGTTTGCACCAACAGTTGGAGAAACCTCACTCAAGTTGTTTTCTGGTTTAATTTGCGATTTCGGAACAAACACTTGTGTGCTTCCGGTGAAGGGAATCTAGATGCATTTTTTGGTTTGAAATTATTTTCTAAATGCAAAATGCTATGATGATGCTTAAAACAATGCTTGCAGGTGTTTGCACTCTTACACATTTTAACTTTATGGACATTAGACAAGCAATTAAAACAAAGGTTATTAGTCTTAACAAACTCTATTCGTTTTTGTACTGGTAATTTAAAAAATTAGAACACCTGTATAAAAAAATGATCTTCTTTAAAATAAGCAGGTAGAATTAGTAATCAGAGATGTAACCCTATTATACACTGGTTTATCTGATTTATGCCTTTTACTAATTAAAGGTTTACTGTTCTGTAATGTTCTAGCGTAATTCTTCAAAAATTCTATCAAGTCATTCAACTTTGGTATTTCGTCTTTTTTAATTGACGCTCCCACCACAAACTTGTCGAAACGTCAAGTTTTTGCAAATAATATACAACAACAAAGTATCACTAAAATTATCTATCCTTGATCTAATATTTCCAATGAGCGAGTTATTTCGTTTACGTTATCTACTAAACTTAATATCGATGATGCAGATTCCATTTGTATTTGTGAAACGTTAAGAATTCTTTTAATAAAAGCAAATATCTGTTCTATCTTATTAGAAAATCTCTCTTCTAGTAAATTCCAAGCAATACTGAAATTTTGATCAGCTATGGAATTGACTGAATAATGCGATAAGCATCATTTTTCAAGAACTCTTTAAATATTGTAATTTTTGAGCTCCAGAAAGATTTTGTTGCGAACACTCGCGTTAAATTGGATTGTTGCGAACACTAGCGTTAAATAAATCTTTAAATGTTATCCATTCAGTTAAATTTCCGCTAAATGTGGGTAAAGATAATTTCGGTAACTTTAAACTTTCAGAAATTGATTCAGGTACGACAGGTTTATCGCCATTTGCATTTACTACCTTGTAAATCTTTAACTTACGAATAATTTTTAAGTGAACCTCCTCAATTTTCTCTAACATTGACTGTTCTTCCTCAACGAAAGTGTCTATTTTTTCATCATCACAATTTGTATAAATTTCTCTAAATAGAGATTTAAAATCTTCCTTAAAGATTTTACATTTTTCTAAGATTAATTCAGCTTCAGCATTATCTAAGTTATCATAATCTATTCTCTCGATGAATTTAATTAACTGTGTTTTCAAAATTTTTTTTTTTTTTTTTTTTTTTTATATCTGACATTTTGAAAATATTCTAAATTCACGATTTTACTAATACTTTAAACACAAAAATAGTAGCAATAAGGAAATCTCAAATGCAATTAAAATGCGTTAACTATTTCACTCACCTTGAACACTGTATCCATTCTGTAACTCTTGAGAATTCTAAACCGAAATTGCATTATCACCACCATTACGGACACGTAGAATTCTTATTCACAAGCGCGGGGTTTTCTCGAAGTTCCGGCGTATGACGACCAAATAATGTAGCGAAGTGGTATCTTAACTTTAAATTAATAAACCTTAGAATACATCACTGCGAGTGGACTGTAAAATTTAACCTTTTTATTCGCGGTTTGAATTTCAAACACCACAGCACAAAGTAAAACGACAGAGTTACAATGAGCGGTTTTAAGAATGCAAGAACAAAATGCGAGCTACGCATACAATCTGCGCATTGCGAAATAATACCTCACAGACAGGCAGAGAGCTCAGGTGGCCGAAACAAAGGTAAAGGTAATTAGGTTTTCCTGCAGCTCATTCTATGAAGAAAAATTTATTGGTTTGTTACACATGAATTTTCTGACACTGTAGGTTGATATGCTGATAATAGATATTCCTTTTTTTTTTTTTTTTTTCTTAAGAAATCTGTTGTTGTAAATGAAGAGTAATATTTTAATGTATTTAAAATCATAAGAAATAGAGTAGTAATTAATTTTTTTTCCTAGGCAGGCTTATCCTCTGTGGAAGAATATAAAAATTTGGCAGAAGATTCTCTTACAAAAAATATACCTATTGTAAAAGTTGTGCTGTACTTTCTGTTATCAAATGATCCTAAGAAAGGGCTGGATATTGGCTTGAAATGTGTAAAAGGTACCTAACGTTCTAAAAATTTAAATTATGACTATATATAATAATAGTTTATTGGGATTACGATGTCCTAAAACTATTTTTAGGTATTTTTTGATTAAATAAACATAAGGAAGTTTTTCAATTATTTGCTTGCTACTCTGTCTTGTTTAATTTTTTGCTTATAAGTTCTATAATTATTAGTTTTATGTAAGTGCTTAACGTATGACATGAAAAGAATTGCCATGGATATATCATATGTGTCTCATAAGTATATATTGTAGAGACATTAATTTGTTTTGAAGCCAGAGAGATAAAAAATGAGCATTGCCTTCGCTAAGAATCGAACCACGGACCTCTGGAATATGCGCTCAGCGTGCAAACCACCACACTACCAAGGCATGCTAAGAAGGCGGGAGAAATACCTAATAATATTAAATTTTGTATATAAGCATTCTGAGCATTTAGTTGTACAAATGTGATTAAAAACATTTGATGAAATAGAACTCAGCTGAAGATTTTGGGCCTTGGGTCTGATTATTTAATCTCAGCTTGTAACTTCTTTATATCGAATCATATAAAAAAATCTTTTTACTTTATTTAACCTTATCATACTATTGCTTTTGCCGGGATCTGCCATAAGAATATATGCAGTACATTTTACAATTTACAATTTTTTAAGCATTTACAGTACATTTTACAATTTAAAACCAATATTCTTGTCTGTTTAATAAGTGTTAGAAAACTAAATATAATTCTAAAATATTGCTACAAACAATATGTAAAGTACTACAATAATCCTGAGATCCAGACTTGTCGAGACTTCGGCGATTCTAGATTTGGGAACTTTCTGTATTTTAGATCATCAATTTAAATCTAGTAAGATGACATGTAGCAGTTATAAAATTAAAATTATGAAGTAGTTGTTAATGAAATAATAAATCATTTATAATCTTAAGCAATCAAAATTTAGAAAAAAAGCTCAATTTTTATTTGTTTGCAAATTTATACACAGACATAATTTCTTGTTCAGTTATGAAGTTTGATTATTCAAGTCCTGTAATTACCATATCAAGAATTCCCACTAAATTGTCAATGAAAATTTCTTCATTCTCAACAGCCTTTCTGTTACTTTCTGCACTATTAGAAGCAATGATTTCTGGATTTAGAGCTATACTACAGATTTTGTTATCCACAAATTGATTGATTATTTGGGACATTGTCACTGCAGTGGAAAACTTCTGTTATATAATTTTTACTTATCACCATTTCTTCATTTTTCTTCTCGAATTAAATTCAATTGGAAAATTTCACATTATGTTTGCCGTATCTAAAAACCTTCGAATTTATGACTATCATCAGCATTAGCCAGCATTCACTATAAACTCTTGACCAGAGATATACAACCTGGTCCCTGCCATCCACTAGTGGAAGATTTAAGCTTTCACGGTAAGTGGTTTTTTTTGGGGGGGGTTCCGATAATGACCATGGATGATCAAAACATGCATGGATGTGTTGATATATACACACCCCTTAAAGTTTAATTCTCTACTTGACCAATCCCCTTCGTACAGTGTTTTCCTGTTTCTGTAAATTTATAGGGCTTTGTAGTTTGTTAATGAATTTTCTGTCTCTTAAGTGTTTAATATTTTAAATTATAGTATGAATAATTGCATAAATTTAACTATATATTTTTACTAAACTTCCATTTAAAAACTTCTTTTCAGTTGAGCTGTATTAAGTTACTGTGAACGGGTGGGCAGTATAGAAATTTTACTGCCTACAAAGTGGGCAGTAGTTATAAAATCATTGACTAACCCTTCCCTTGGCAATGCATCATGAGACTGACAACTAAAATTGTGATGTTCTGTTAAGTTTTGTCTTGCTTCAATCATGCTCTGAGAAAGTTAATCTGAATTGCATTTGTTTAATTATTTATTATTGTCATGTCAGTTTCACGCACATGATTAAGGCATTTCTGACACTGGAATAAGTAAATTCCCATGTATACTTATTTATGTCGGTTACTATACATTTTGCCACCCAGTGCAATTTACAAGCCTTAAATTCTGCTGTCAGGTGCCTCCCAAAATTCTAAAAAACTTGCCACCCGTAAATTTTGCATCTCAGTGCCTTCCCTAAATTGTATATATTTTACCAGCCATTAATTTTGTTGCTCGGTGCTTCTCTAAATTAAAATTTGTGCCACTGATTGCAGCCACACCAGCCCTGTACTTATCTGAATAACAAATCAGTATGTCATAGGTTTACATATCCTTTTCATTGTTTTGTTAATCTAAAGGCAAAGGCTTCTTCAAATTCTAACTGTAAATATGGCAATGTAAATTTCTGTATCTTCTTACTCCTCTTGCTTTTCACTTTCACAAGATAACATTTCAAGCAACTCTTCATTTGAAAGGTTCACTATTGTGTAATTAAAGATCAGTTATATCACTGGCAGAAGCTTCAGTATTTAACATTTCAGCAGTTTGGGTGATCTTTTCAGCTTCATGCTGAATTATTTGTAGTTTTTCCTCAAATCCTTTGAAATTAGGACAAAGCTCATTTTCAATACTTTTTAATGCTGTTAGTTTTTCTGACCCATAAACAACCAATGGTTTCAGCTTCCAAACACCAAGCATAAAAATTAGTCAATGTTCAGCAGGTTTAAAGCATGATATTAGCAATTCCTTTTTAACGGTGTAGTTCTAGATGGCACTTTTTTTTACAAAAAAATACAATCTTGTCTGTATTGAGAATCTTGTAGAGACATTTAATTTCTTTCTTCATTAATTATAATTTTTCAGGAAACAGTTTTGCTGCTTCACCTTGCACCGTAACAGCATACCACGCTGGCCTCTTCTTGTGGGAAAACCAGCCACTGCTTGCGGCGAAAGTTTCTTTGCAGTCCTATTTTTTGTTCATAAGCATTTGAAAAATGGACAGTACTTTTAGACAGTTCATGGCATATATGTAATGGGCATGGTTTTATGTGATGGGCTTTGTGTGTGATTGTTAATCCATGCAGTTAAAATCTCTGGGAAGTTATGCTGTGGTCCTTTGTAACCATGTAAATTCAACAGACTGTGCACTCTTCAACAACTATTTCCCTTCAGTCTTTAAAACTGAGCCAACATCAACCCAATGAATATTTGTCATGAATGCTTTTTACAGTGCTTCCGGCTTTGTGATGTTTTATAATTTCATATTTTTCCTCTAATATTTCCTTTCTTTGTTTCTTACTGACATGTTAGCATTTTTGCATTTTCCCGGCATAATGATAGTTATTTATATTTAGAAAAAAAAGGAGTGAAAAGAGATAAAAATCTGGAGTCTGAGAATGACACTGAACCCGGGAGCCATGAGGCAGCCTTCAACCTTATAAAGCTTTGAGGGTAGTGAAAAGGGTTGCCAGATCTCACCAGTATAAATTTGCCATTTGATTTTCATTAAGGATCAGATTAGCGCATCTTGAAACCATACTCAGATCACCTAGCTACCCTCAGCAGTGCAGGTTATCTGGCTGGTTGACTTATGGAAAACCAGTTCTTTAGCGAAGATCTGTGCAAGACAGAGTATGCACAGAGAAACATTTTCACCAGAGTGCAAAATATCTTCCATACATGATGAGGATCAGGCAGCAGGACTGCTTCAGCTAGGAATCCTCTCTATTAAATCAATGTTCGGGAAAAACTCATTTCTTGGATAAATGTTAACTAGTATCATACATTGCTAGATCGAATAACCCCATAATGTGTCACTGGTGTTGTATTTTGTTGCGTGTAAAGTTTAAAAAAATTAGCACAAATTTTTATAAACTCCAAAAAATTCTCATAAAGTTAAGAAACTTGTAAATGAAGAGCTCGTAAAATGAAAATACCTATATAGTGTGACTATCCAGAAAATGCTGATTGCTGTATATGTGAAAATTCCAGAGATTTAAGCATATAAAAAAAAGCTACATGAATAGGAGAAAAAAATACCTGGTCTAAAATTATAAAAACAGTTTTCTTAATTATTATCATCTTCAATATTAATAGCCTACATAATTCGTTTGACATGAAATGAAACATATGAAAGTAAAGTATCTTATCCAATTATGAAATTCTATCCACCATGAAAGTTTGCAGAGATGCCTCCAAAGTTGTGGCAATTATTCTGTCAAGAGTTTAAAGGAACAGATTTTTCTTTATATACAGGGTCTGTCCAGAAAGTAATGAAATTCCATAAAATTAATTTATTTGAAGATAGTTTTACAGACACTTAATAATCTTTAAAACAGCCTCCTTGTGCATTATTACTCTCTTGCCAGTGGCTCTGCCATCCATTGATGCTGGTCTGGAAATCTTTAAGTGGAACGTGTATTATGTTTTTCTGCAGGTTCATGTTATTGTCAAAACAGTGATTAAGCTAGATTTTAAGCTAGACTTCAGCCAAGGGAATAGAAAAAAGGTCTGGCGGTGACAAATCGGGGCTACACTGTGGTTTGGGTAACATTGCAAAGTTGTGTTTTGACATGAAATGAGTCACTTTAAAGGATGTGTGGGTTGGTGAGGCTTTTTTTTTTTTTGTGTGTGTGTGTGTGTGTAGAATTCAGTTGTTTGTCAGCCTCAGGTGTATATGCAGAAATCGATTACTCAACCTTTATAGCACTTCTTTGTAAAAATCTGCTTAATTGTCTCTCCGGTTGGTATGAACTCTTTGTGCACTATTCTCTTGGTGTCAAAGAAGGCAATGAGCATGGACTTCAGTTTCCATTCGAGTCTTCTTTTGACGAGGAGACTGAGGCGTGTGCCGCTCAGCACTCTGTCTGTTTGTTTTGGGGTATACTGAAAAACCCTGTTTTGTCACCCAGAATCACTCGCTTCAAAAATTTACAGTGACTTGTCAAACAGTTGAACAGATCACATGAAATCAACTCACAGTTTTCTTTCTGTCCATCAGTCAAAATCCTTGGAACCAGCTTGCCATAAATTTTCTGCATTCAAAGTTCTTCCCTGACAATTCGATGCACAAACGATTTT